ATTACAGTGCCGCACTGGCAGAGGGGGCGGGACTCAGCACAGCACTGCGGCGGTGAGGGCGGCGAGCAGCACCAGCGGGCCGTGCAGCCACTCAGGGCCGCGGCCGCCGTCCTTCTTCTTCTTCTTCGGTGCTGCGGTGCTCGTCGTAGTCGACTCCTCAGTAGTGGCGGGCCGTCCCTCTGATGATCCTTCTTGTTGTTGATCAGCTGGAGACTCTGATGTTGGGGCAACAGTAGTGGTGTCCGAGAGAGGAAGAGTGGCGGAGGCACTCATGGACTCACTCATACTGAGGGATGGTGTGGTGGTAGTGAATTCACCGTTTTTCCACGTAACTTTTTTATCTCCTCCTTTTGGAAGGTGTGCCTGTTGCTCATCCCTCCCTTTTCCCTGGGCCTCTGTAGCGTATCCACCCACACGTGGCACCGGCAGTGGCATCCTCTCTGCTGCTGCACATGTACAGATGCAGGAGAGTNTGTTCCTCTGTTGTTCCTGTAGTCTGTTGATCTGCTGCTGGTGGGGCAACAGTAGTGGTGTCAGTGAGAGGAAGAGTGGCAGAGGCACTCATGGACTCACTCATACTGAGGGATGGTGTGGTGGTAGTGAATTCACCGTTATTCCAACTTACACGTTGACGTGTGCCCCCTCCATTTTTAAGGTGTGCCTGTTCCTCATCCCTCCCTTTTCCCTTCGCCTCTGTAGCGTATCCACCCACACGTGGCACCGGCAGTGGTATCCTCTCTGCTGCTGCACATGTACAGATGCAGGAGAGTATCAGTAGCAAGGTTAATAGAAGAGTTGTGCGCATAGTGATTGTGTAGCTCTGTTGCTTGTGTGAGCAATCTTAAATGATACGTAACATAAGGAGAAAAGAAACATAAACTTATTCATTAAAATGGTGGTTTTTATAATAATCTATTCATGTACTATATATATGATGCTCAGAAAAGAATAAAGGTTTTCAACATGTCCTTGGTGATAATTAACATTAATATTAGGCGACAATATACATTATACGACAGTAGAGTTGTTTTTTAGTATGCTCTCGTTTATTACATTCTTGTATACAAAATAATTATCGTTTTACTCAGTTATATGTTACATCAATTACAGGGAAGAGAGAAATCAATGTCAGTAATAGTAACAGAATACCACATTAAGCTAATGTTGTTATTATTGTTGCTAATACTGTAGGAGAGCTCTGGCTCATGTAAAAACTTCTGGGTATAGTACCAGTGCATTTAGGCTGTGTATTATGATAGTGATGGTTATTGAGATGTAAACTGTATGGCAGTTTTCTCTTATCCATTTAGACAGTAAAGATGAGTGTGTGTAATTCACAAAGTGATGGTGTGTAAAAACTGAGACATATCATATTTTTTCTTCCTCTCTCTTTATTGGGTTTTACTTCAATAGTGCGGCTGTCATCATTTGACTGTAGAGTACATCCATTATTGGTAAAAACGAGTGAATAGAAATAGATCCCATTGTTTATTGGGTGCTCATGTTTTTTAAATATTCATTTGTTAATTTAGAGTTATGTTTTCATATTTTCATTTATAACCTTTTGCATACAATACAAATTAGTCTACGATAACTCACCACTACAACTCTCATTTATCATAATGCGTTAAAAAGATTCGTTTTGTACTTTTATTTGAACTCAATCAGTTCCTATTTATTCTGTTCAATATTCAAAACTGTTATTAAATACGTTTATCTCTGAATCCATCAGGTCCTGTATAATTCATGCCAGTCACAACTCGTAACGGAGAATTATCTCATGTTAGTGGAGGTGGTTAACTTGTGAATTCCTGTTTGAAAGAATTAGGTTATAGTGTAGTTCCTCTCCAGAGCTACACCATTTGGGATAATTATTTAGTAAAAGATAGAAACTTAATGGATACTCCATATACCGCAAACTGTACACAGAATGAGCAAAAGAAGAACATTTCAATAGCTGTACGATTGTTTATTTGCAGGACACTCTGCTGATTTCCGCAGCGTACACAAAAGGTTTGATAAACGTGTTGTGAGATATCTGTGTAATGTATGGAGTCTTTTGTTGTTATCATGTCAGTTCATTCTTGGGCGTATGAATGTTCGAATGTCTCTTTATTTGGCCGCTTTGCACTGGGAGTGTTTGCAAAAATACCTTTACAGACATCCCTGCTAACCAAAGATTATTATCATTTGGATTAAAAAATAAGACATAAGTGCATAAATCATCCAGTATACTTCTCATTAAACTATACCAGCAAATATCCCAGTTGAGATAACACTGCACCGCTCAAATCTTTCTTATATACCGACGTAAACATTACACCTTCATCCCATTTCGA